TTTTTACAAGGGCATGTAGGGATAGGACAGGGGGTAATGGCTTGAAGCTGAAAGAGGGTTGGTTTAGATTAGATACAAGAAAGAAATTCTTTTCTGTAATGAGGGTTGTGAGGACTGGCACAGGTTGCCCAGAGAAGCTGTGAATGCCCCCTCTCTGGAAATGTTCAAGGCCAGGTTGGATGGGGCTTTGAGAAACCTGGTCTAGTGGAAGATGTCCCTGCCCATGGCAGAGTTTCAGTACTCAATGATCTATAAAGTCCTTTCCAACCCAAACCATTCTATGAATCTATAATTCTATGATTTTATGATTTACATCAGGATAATGTCATTATCACAGTCTAAGAAATTCTGGCATTGCTTGCCCAGTGCTGTTGCCCTCACAGCAGGTGTCCATATGGCTCAAATCCTCCCTAAGGAAGAGGAGACTTCTGCCTTTCTACTAGTTGTAGAAATCCTCCTTCACTACTTTGTCTTCGTCAGGTGGTCTATAACAGACCCCATCACAACATCCCTCATTTTCCTCCCATCTCTGATGGGATGTCTACAGTTTCACACTGGAGCTTTGCACAATCAAGGAACACTTTACCATAAAACATATATCCTCCTCATCTTCCCTGTTCAATTCTTCCCAAACATTTCATACCCTCCCATGACCATGTTCCAGTAGTGCACACTATTCCACCACAGCTCCACTATTCTGACCATGTTCCCCTTCTCCCTTACAAAATTCTTACATTTTCAGCTATTCCTCTGTCATTTCTGGGCTTAGGTCCTCATCCCATGATGAAGCTGATTTGACACCCTTGTCATCAGGTTGTAGTCTCATTGCAAAGACCTCTTTCCTTCTTAATTCTCAAATTCAGATGTCCAAAAATCTAGAGGAACTCAAAGAGTAAGTTTCTAAGCTTCCAAACACAGTGTGGAAGCTCCAATTTAAAATCCATTTTGATATCACAGGATGGCCAGGTGACTAACGTAATGCCATGGTATTAAAAGGGCTTATGGGGAAATCAAGAGAACTACAATGTGGTAAGGCTGATGGCTATACTGGACAAATCAGTATAAATTATAATATAGAACAAAATTAACGGACACAGGAAAAAGTGAGTCTTTCGTGTGTATTTGTAATGGGAAGTCTTACTTCACAAACCTGTTTGCTTCTTTAAGGCCAGATAAAGCATGTAGATTTAATTATCAAGACTGCATCTGTAATGCTAAAGAAATCTGCTCCTGAATGCAGTCTCTGATATCAGACAGAATGATGCAGGATGCCTTGCAGCCGGCCCTCAGTGCTTGTGACTACCAGAATTGTTTGGCTGCATCAGCACTGCACAGCCCTTGGCTTGGGTCTCTGCTATTTAGCAAATGCTACTTTCCCTTTCATGCAAACTAAACAAAGTATAAAGCTGTAGGTTCTCCCCTGAAGTTTTTAATAGGTGACATTAAATGATGATATGGAGGGAAAATTGTAAACTGCAGCACTGCTGTCTGTGTGTACACTGTTCACAAAAATGGAGCATTAGCTGTCAGAGTAGTTTTCAAAGGGAAAACCCCTTACCCTGTGGACTAGATTTAGAGGGATTAGGATCTGAGAAGGAAACTGTGAGAAAATAGATAGAAAAAGACTGGGAAGCCAACATGGGAAGTTCAGGGGAACTTTCAGGAGAAAACAAGACTTAACATTTATCCTTCCCTCCAGATGTTCTTCACTGAAGATAAGGATTATATTAATTCATATCTGCAGGCAAACTAACTTGAAGAAATTTATTCCACAGATTTAAAAATCCTGGTCATATGTACACTCAGATAAGTATATTGCAAAAAGTTGTGTGATACACACCATCTGCTTTGGATTTGTTTTAATTCATAGATATTATCAATCCCACCCAAGTGATAAATTTCTGTGACTTGGCCTATCGGGTATTCCAGCTTCTTGCAGAGGAGTACACTGTAATTTGAATTACCAGATCCACACTCCATACAGACTTAGCTCCACAGTTCTCAGTGAGTTAGACCACACAAAACTGGCCGGTTTCCTTTGTCCAAGCATGGGGCAGCCGAGATGACACCTGTCCTTGGTAAAAGGGATTTGCTGAAAGAGGCAGTAATGCCCTGATGCAAAAAAAAGGAAATGGATACTGTCAGCCATTGACTTTCTGCCACTTCCATTTCTGTCCCTGCAGGACCTGGAGTTCACTGGGACTAGAAGCAAACCACAGCACAGTCAGAAGAGGCAGAATGAGAGAAATTCCTGGATACAGATGGTCCTGCACAGACACACGGTGTGAGCAAAGTGCTGGAGTGATGATATCCAGGCATGCTGAAAACAGATCCCACCCTACTTTCTGTAAGTCCCTACCATATGATTTCCCTTCCTTTCTGTTGAGTGAGCATGAGCTGGGGAGAAAGAGGGATACTCATGAACACAAGTGA